ATTAATATTGATCGAAATCGTTTAAATTTAGCTATTCAACAACAAAACATGAGTAAATTTTGGCAACCATTAAAAGTACTTGAACTATTTATACTTGGTCAATCACCAAATGAAGCAGTGTAAGTCTACAACACTAGATAATTCAATGTACTGTAGAAAAACTGAAAGAGAGAAAATGTCGAAAACAGAAAGTATCGAAAGAAAAAAAAAAGGTGATGGTCAAATAAACGCTGACTTTAGATATCTATAGTTTATTATTAATTTTCTCATTATTCTATCGGTTTATATTTGTAACTAGTAGTTACAGAGATGAATAATAATAGATAGATACTACGTAAAATAGTCAAAAAAAGTAGTTACTATATAATTAAAATTCTATCATCATGGATCACAGCTGATTCATCTTCGCCGGATATAGATTAGCCAACATTCTCAATTATTTCATTCACTAATTCATAATAAGAAAGATCTTTATTCTTACACTTAATGGATCTTCAGTTAAAGTTCTTACATCAATTGATTAAAATGATTAATGATCATAGTCACCTTATAGATAAAGAAAAATTGAAGTACATGAATTTTGTAAAAATTCTTTTTTCTCTTGATCTGTGTATAATCTCTACTAGAATGTTACTATTGTTTCATACATTAAAGAATGTGTTGTTGTAGTCAAAATTTTCTAAAGTACTTTTCGACCGTTCTATGATTTTTATCTTGAAGAAAAATCAGTTTTGATTGAATCTCATGAAAAACGCAAAGGTTATTCATTACAATGAACATACTCTCTAAAATTGATTGTATCGTAAACGTGCAGTTTACAAAACTATTGAGTTTTTTTCATCTTTAAATTCATAATTTTTTTTTTTGGAAATAATTGTATTTAATGTATAACAACAGCTGCCATAACTAAGTAACTACGTAGTTCGACACATATCCATAAAATGCTGTGTGCAAACATCAATACCACCAGCCATGAAATGACGTTGGAAAAACCACTGATCGCGGATCACCAGTCCAATAGTATGTCGACTACATTGTGATATACATCTGCTCTTGTGGATAGTTAGTGTGTATGAGAAGCACAAGAACTCTGTATCAGACTCACCTGCTTTCCAGAGGTACAGCTAGTATTTGTTGTAGGAAAGATATCGAAGTATTGAATCTATCTCTAGGTAGCATCCCATACCGAAAGACAAGGGTATTCTTCTTTTCTAAAAAGAAATGACTTATACATAAAATAAAACTATAATATTTCTATTTAGATTATTTTCTAAACTAGTTGGTGATTGGCGAACAGCTTTATGTTTAGCTTCTGTATTACCACCACATAATGGACTATATAATACACCTAAATCAACAAAACAAACATCTCCATCATATTCA